CAAGCCCAAATTAAGCTATTATTCACAAACAAGTAAAATAAAAAAGTAGAAAGATGTAAATGCATTTGGATTAAAAAACAAAACAAAAACATTTTTAAATGTCTCACTGAGGTGTGTGACAAAGAATCAAGATCCTGTGAGGGAGAGCTTGTGTTTATTTTTAAGTGTGTTTTTAGAGTCAGATTTCTCTAAATACAACATATTTCACACTTAAAAAACGGAATATTATCAAGCTGCATCTGAAGTCATTAAAACCGGGATCTGATTTGATTCCAGTGTGATTGAAAACTTCCCACTTGGTGAAGAAGCTCCTTCTTTCTCAGGAAGCTAAAACAGTCTGGTCTCTCTACTTAGCTCCTCACAAACTTTTATGGGGTTAGAAAAAGAATCCTATCTCTCAGTGTGACGCCGAGGTAATATCTGCAGAATTGTGTGGGATGCTCTCTCTGTCCAATTAGGTACATAATAACTTGGGAGACGTTTATGTTGCAAAAGTCCAGTAAAGGGCCAGAAAAAAGGACTTCAGACCTTCTTAACTAGATGTGCATTTTGATTTTGTGTCTCAGCTAACTTTGACGTTGGTCCCAGAATAATAAAAACTCTCGATCTCTATCCGATCCGCCCCCTATCTGTAGACAGTGTCATCAGAACAATGACGGTCATGTTGCCTGCAAACTTCCACAGTCTCAGAGTTGGATCCGCTGAAGAAGAACCTCACACTTTTTGCTGCCATGATTTTATATAAAAAGTTGAGAATTAGAAAGTCAGGCCCCTTCTTTTGTAAGTGAAGCCCAAAAACCTCGGGGTACTAACCTCTCACCATGAAACATTTTGCCAGAAGGCCTATTGCTTGTCCTGCTGTAAAGTTCAGTTTAGTTCCAAGGTGTAATTTTATATTAGCTATCTTTAGTCCTTATTTAAATTAGCCTGTGCAGGCATGGAGAAGGCACAGATGTAGAACATGAAGTGAGGCCTCTGTTCTCTTTTTTTTTTTTTAACAGTGTCCTGTCTGGCAATGTGGCAATAAGAATAATTGTCTTGATGCCAAAAAGAGCCCAACAGATTTTACTTTCACAAGTGGAGCAGTAGGGCTATTGCCATATTGTTCCACTTGTTTCATGCATATACACTCACCGGCCACTTTATTAGGTACCCCATGCTAGTAACGGGTTGGACCCCCTTTTGCCTTCAGAACTGCCTCAATTCTTCATGGCATAGATTCAACAAGGTGCTGGAAGCATTCCTCAGGGAGTTTGGTCCATATTGACATGATGGCATCACACAGTTGCCGCAGATTTGTCGGCTGCACATCCATGATATGAATCTCCCGTTCCAAAGATGCTCTATTGGATTGAGATCTGGTGACTGTGGAGGCCATTTGAGTACAGTGAACTCATTGTCATGTTCAAGAAACCAGTCTGAGATGATTCCTGCTTTATGACATGGCGCATTATCCTGCTGAAAGTAGCCATCAGAAGTTGGGTACATTCTGGTCATAAAGGGATGGACATGGTCAGCAACAATACTCAGGTAGGCTGTGGCTTTGCAGCGATGCTCAATTGGTACCAAGGGGCCCAAAGAGTGCCAAGAAAATATTCCCCACACCATGACACCACCACCACCAGCCTGAACCGTTGATACAAGGCAGGATGGATCCATGCTTTCATGTTGTAGACGCCAAATTCTGACCCTACCATCCGAATGTCGAAGCAGAAATAGAGACTCATCAGACCAGGCAACGTTTTTCCAATCTTCTATTGTCCAATTTCGATGAGCTTGTGCAAATTGTAGCCTCAGTTTCCTGTTCTTAGCTGAAAGGAGTGGCACCCGGTGTGGTCTTCTGCTGCTGTAGCCCATCTGTCTCAAAGTTCGACGTACTGTGTGTTCAGAGATGCTCTTCTGCCCACCTTGGTTGTAACGGGTGGTTATTTGAGTCACTGTTGCCCTTCTATCAGCTCGAACCACTCTGGCCATTCTCCTCTGACCTCTGGCATCAACAAGGCATTTCCGCCCACAGAACTGCCGCTCACTGGATGTTTTTTCTTTTTTGGATCCTTCTCTGTAAACCCTAGAGATGGTTGTGCGTGAAAATCCCAGTAGATCAGCAGTTTCTGAAATACTCAGACCAGCCCTTCTGGCACCAACAATCATGCCACGTTCAAAGTCACTCAAATCACCTTTCTTCCCCATACTGATGCTCGCTTTGAACTGCAGGAGATTGTCTTGACCATGTCTACATGCCTAAATGCACTGAGTTGCCACCATGTGATTGGCTGCTTAGAAATTAAGTGTTAATGAGCAGTTGGACAGGTGTACCTAATAAAGTGGCCAGTGAGTGTATATTGCTTTATTATAATTATGCAGGGAGTTTTACAGATTATATGGACACTGCAATGTAAATAGAACAGACGAGGAAAAACAGAAGAAGAAGAAAAAAAGAAAAGATGAAAGAAAGAGGAGATAGAAACGAGATAATGATAAAACATTTTCAGTCTGCTTCATCACCTGCAACGAGGTTTAAAAAGAACAGCACAACAAATAGACATGGTACGAGACATACAATAAAGTAACACCTTGAAACTATCGCTGAAGTAGTATTATTTAATTTGACATCTACTCTTTGTTACCTGAAGATAAGAATGTGGGCTTTCTGTTCTCTGTTCTCAATGTAACACTCGGGTTCGAATCCAAACCCTAGAGACCTTTGCTGCATGACCCCTTTTTCCCCATCCCATTTCCTTTCACACCACCTTCAAAATTAAGAGCGCTAGAACAAAAAAAAATTATAAAGAGGAATTAAAAAAGAAATATACGTCTGACTAAATAAAAAAGGCAGAGATTTTGTTTTTGGAAATCTCTGTGACATGACACAGGACACAAGGACCAAGTATTCAAGGTGTGACAGACAGTGGGATTATTCAGAGTGTTTATTAAAAACAGAAGCGGGCTGTGGAACCATGGTAGGACACAGATAACTGGAAGCTCTGGTTACACAGTTAAGTCAATAGCCAGAGAACGAGGCAGGATCCAGAGGGTGGGCTGCCAACAAGATGTGGTGGGCATCGACCAGAGTGTCCCAGATCCTACAGCCCCGGAGAACAAGCAGAAGTCCGAGCCAGGTCGGGGAAACAGATCAGAACAGAAACAGGCTGGTTTAGGGTTCCAGGAGTCCACAGACAGTTCAGGCAGAACGTTCAGATGGGAACAGGCACGCTCAGTGGATAAGAGGCAGCTCAGGATCAGGAAATCAGAAACACTATGAAACACTAAAAACCCTCTCTCCACTGGCCCCCGAATATGAGCACTAGAACATGAGCATCAGCATCAAACTGGCCATGACGGCTGGGACTGAGCCGTATAAATATAAGCAGGCGCAGGCGAATTAGATGAGCAATAATTGGAAACCGGGCAGAGTTAGACAGGTGAATGGAGTGAAGAATTAGGCCAGCCATCAGTACCACGATCAAGACACTCTTGTCTTAACTAATGCTTTACTTTGTTGGAAAAGTCAGATCATGTCAGGAAACCGATCCGTTTAATTGAGCTCTATGAGTTTGCTCTATAGTTTGTCAGAACTCTTTCAGAAGCTTGATGGCAGCAAAAGCTGTGTTTCATATGCTACTTCCTAATTATCTGTTAAAAAATACTAGTGGAAAGAGATTTACATTTTTGTCTACATGTGTAGGAAGGGTTTTGGTTGGAAAGCAATGAATATAAAGTCTTTTTCAAGTTTTTGTTTTTAATTGATCAAAGTTGCTGTATATTCATTTCACCATGGACAAATAAACGTAAATAAACCTAACCTAAACCTAAAACCTAAAGTAGTTTTTGCGCTCCTTGGTTGGTGTTATATAAAGTAAGTGCTCCAAAAGACACGTATGAAGCTATAATCATCCACTTGGCTTGCCAAATACAACAACTAAACCATTTTCCACTGCACATACCTCATTATTGCAGTTCTTTTGAAACGTTTTGCCCAATGTAGGACACATTGAAGTGTCATATTTCGGAAAAAACATCAATAAACCTCTTCAGAGTCCTGAAACTCCCCAGCAACGCATATAGAGGGGTCTATATGTGCGCAAGCACAAGTTGCAGGCGGGCTATAAATGCCGTTCTGTGTCTGATAATAACTTGGAGAAGATGATTTATGGCTGACCTCCTTGGACAGATTGTCCCCTGCCTTTCTCTTTCTTTCAACTTTTTGACTTGAAAGAAACCGTAATGCACACACACGTAATTCTTTAAAACAAATTCTGTCTGCTTTTTTTCCCCACTTTTTGGGGAAAAAGAGATTCAGAAACTGCAAAAAAACATGCACAAGTAAAAAAGTAGGCTTTTTGTGTGGGTTTTTGTATCAAACAATTCGCACTGCACAGTGTTAAAGGCATGCAATCTCATATGAACACCTAGTGTCATTATCTGTGTGTTGATTTGCCATTCTGACCAGCAGTGTGGTGAAGTTATTACCCTAATAAAATAAAAAGCCAGATTCCAGGATAATGTCTGTGTTTCCAGGAGCCAGGAGGAGAGTCCTTGAAGGAGCTTGTTGAGGAGCGGATGTGAGGGAGGACAACAACAAGCTTTGGGATCTGGAGAAGACTCGATATAAAGGCTGACCAGGACTGGCTGAGGCTCAGACCGGTGGAGCCCTGCTCATCTTAAAGAACATTTCCCTAAACAACTTACCAAGGCTGACAGCACGTGAGTGACTTATGGCTTCCTCTGCTTCCCTGTCTCTGAGGCTTCCCCTTACACTCCTTTATTCAGGCTCCTGCCTCTCTGCTCTTTGGCCTCTATTCATTTCACACATCTCTGTCGCTGTTCTAAGTTTACCTTATTCTCTTGAGGTCCTTGTCGGTCTTATCTGCTGAGCCATTTGTTGCTCTGCCCCCACAGAAAGCCTTCTCATCTCCGTCCTTTCTCCCTGCCTATCTTTTTTATCTGCTGTCCAACGTTTCCCTTACATAAGCAGGGGATCCTCTTGCGTCCTTCTCTCTGCTTTTATCAGCTTTAGTTTGCCTTGTGCCCCTTTCAAATGTTGACCTGCTTTTGCTGTCACATATTCTCCCAAGCAGTTACTAAGTTCTGCTAGTAACCTGAACCCTGGGACACCCATAGCCCTGGCTCTTTTGTGGGATCCCTGTCAATAGACTGTGCTCCAATGAACCAGTCGATGCACAGCCAAAGCGTAAAGGTGTGCTTATGCACATTTCTGCAGGTGAGAGGAGGATGAGCATGCGTGGAGCTGTGGTGGGATGCGTGGTGCTGGTGTGCCTGCTGGCTCTCCTGGCTGAGAGGACGGAGGGACACATCACCTTTTTCAGCCCCAGTGAGATGATGAAGTTGAAGGTATACAGTTTGTGTGTCGATCTAGTTAATAAGCAGATTACAGGAAGTTAACCAGTAGCTCAAATGATTCTTTTTTTAAGGTGAAATGGCAATTCCTGTCTGATAATAGCTTGAGTGTTAGAGTTAACTGATTTCTCATATCTTTCTGTTTTTGGATGAGAAATGATAATATTATAAACTAAATGTAAATGTTATAAAGAACCCCTCTGATCAGCAGCCACTCATAAACTCTATAGAAAACAGCAACTTTTGGGATACTGAAGGGGATTTTTAAGTATATGTGTTCAACTACTAAGGTAATTGCACTCAAACATATTTTAAACAACTGTGTAATGCCTTTATGTTATGTCATGAGAGACATGTGGTTAGGGACCATGAGTAGAGCATGCTGTTCTATAGATGGTAAAATATACATCAAGGTCTGGCCAGTAGTTTTAAAATGTTAACCTATTCAAAAACAGATTTAGCATGAAAAATAAGAAATTTCTGCTATAAATTCACTGATATATTTCTCTTTTTTTTTTAGTTTTTACGGCACTAGTGGCTTGTTTTTTTTTACAGTAGGTTGACAGGAAAGGGGGTATGAGAGAGGGAGAGAGACATGTGGCAAAGTACCACAGGTCAAATTCGAACCCGGTTGGTTTTGTCGAGGATGAAGGCCTCCGTACATGGGTCGTCCGCACTAACCACTGTCCCACCTGCACGCCCCGCTGATATATTTCTAATGTTCTGACCATCACAGATCCTTTAGTCTGTCGAAAAATCGCAAAAAATTTGAAAGAAAAAAATTAAAAACCATTGCATAGTGATTTTTCTTTGGAGAGAACTTTACCCATTTATAGAGATACACTACAAATGATCTAAAATGAGGAAACATTTCTTAAAATAAGTGTGTTTACATTTAACCCTCTGATGCATGAATTATGAAAGCCTTGATCAAGATTTTTACCTCAAGGTTTTTTCTTATTCTTAGGACATGAAAAAAATGTTAAACTTTTTTTTTTCTAAAAATATTGTTGTTTAATGAAGTTACAGATATGTCCACTGGAGTGGACAATGCGCACATGAGAACTCAATATAAAATATTGTGAATTTATTAAAAAAAAATAATGATCTAGTATTCTGTTGTAAAAAATGCAGACCATTGATTCATTTTATTTTGAAAAATATTTCAACATGTTTTGTTTAATTTTTTACATTATAAAGGCACAATTTTAAGAACCGAATAAGGAAACCAATGACACTCATAGCTTACTGAAGTGACTGAAATTCCTCAGGATCTGCTGCTGCCTTGAATGTCTCCTGAAGTGTACTTAGGAAGGGTCTTACAATGGGGAGCCTATATGTGTTTGCAGGGCGGAAAGGTTTCACTATAGAAACCATAGAATTAAAAAGATATTTACTTTGTAGTAGCTGTCCACTACAGTGACCACTATGCACCAGAGGGTTAATTTGAGTCCGTATATAAGATGATCTGCCAATGGAATGCGTCTTTTATTTATCATTATCTCTAATTAGATATTATGGCCTTAAAAAAAGAGATTGTCGTTGTGTTTCCTTAGTTTAAATGTAAATAGTCATAGTCCACTTGAAGAGTGTCTCAACTGCTAAATTCAGGAAAAAATGCACCCTTTTTAAGAAAAATTGACTTACTTAGATGTCTATGTTTTGCTATGCAGTCAATTAAATCATTATATATGTGAGCAATTTATTTCATTAGCAGCAACCCCCTCCCTGCATGAAAATGCAAATACATTTAAAAAACAAAGCAACAGTTTTTAGTCAGTATTTCTGATTTTCTGTTCTCTTGTGCATCAGCAGCAGAACGGCAAGAAAAACATGGAGACTCGATCAGAGGACGGTCAGTTGGAAGAGGTCACCGTCCAGCAGGCTCCTCTGATAGAACATAACGGGAATCCTGTGAGCAAGCAGCCTGCAAGACCCTCTCTAGCAACAAAATCCAGATGAACAACTTTAGTCATCCTCTCTTATTTTTTCTGTCATTTCCAGGATAACACATTGGAGGTAGCTATCCGTCTTTTACCCAGGCAGGTGGATCATGTGTCACCAGTGCTCGAAGAGATTATCCATGAAATAGTGGAGCAAAGTCAGAAAGGTATTTCATCTGGGTCTTCTCGATTTTCCAAATAAAAACTAGCAGACACATGCAAGCAGTAAACCTTGATTGGAAAAAAATTATGTGACCATCATTCCCTCTTAAATGTTTGTCTCTGCAGCCAAATAGCAAGGCCAAGGGCACGGCAGGAGGGACGAGGTGTAAATTCTTCAGAAAAGCACTGAATGCTCAAATGTTTTGTTGTGTTTAAATAAATCAGACAATAAAGGGAAATGATTGTATCATTCTTTGGAGGGTCTGATCTATTTCTTGAAAGAGAGAGAGAGCATCAGCATCTCATGTAAATGTTGCAACTCTTTGTTGAAAAGATTTTCCATAATGGCTTTAAGATGTCATCTGACAAGATTTTTAAGACACTTGACACTTTGGGAGAAAATGTTCAGCTGATTCAAATTAGACAACATCATTTAAGACTAGGAGATTCATATCAATGAAACAATCACTGCAGTTCATTTGGTAGTAAATCATACAAAACAAAGTGTTCAACAAGTCCCAGCTGCCCACATTCTCTGACATCATTACTTGTTCCCAGTCCTTTGGAAGCAGTTACTTTAGAGCTTTGAAGTCAGCTTCTCACAGAACTCAAAATCCTTCACGGCGAGTGCAGTGTCTCGAGCTAAAGGGGCAGGAAGGACCAGGGAGCAGTCACTGTCAAAATATTTCCCAGTCACCCCCTCCAGTTCCTCGGACACGGCGCAGTAGATGGGGCTGATGGCGCCTTCTTCTGGTGACTGTGAGGGAGACAGCATCAGTGGAGCGTTAGTGTGAATGATGCCGTACAGACAGATATCTAAGCAGAATGGGCACCAAGATGCAGTTAGGCTGATAATCTATGCCATCTTTGTTTCCAGTTAGTTGTTAAGCTTATTAACACGTAGCATGAAGTTGAAGCTTGTCAAAAACACAGATTCACTTAAAAGTAATTTGTTTTCATTTGGTTGTATTTCTTTGAATCAGATAATTGACCGTCTCACATCACAGTGATCTCTCCATTGTTTAAAACTACTGTAACTCCGAGAAGTGATTCTCTTAATACTTATGACAACCCTTTTTAAAGATATTGTTGATGTAAAGATGTTTTGCATAAAAGAGACTATTATTTACAAAAGAAATATATAATATCTTGCCATTAATAACATATTACCACAAATGGGTGGATTATTCCACTAGTAACTTAGTTATATACAATAAGATTCTGCTTCCAGGCTACTTAAGCTTACATTCTCAATAAATCATAGATAATCTGATGAAGCTGAAATAAAATTAAGGTGTTCCTATTGTTTTTGTGTTGAAATTTACTCAGTTGTATCAATTTACTAAAGGTTTAAATGGATCTGATGTATCTCATTGTGTCAGTCAGTGAAGGGTATGGAAGGAATCCACAGCGCATGCCAAAGTAAAGGTACATACGAACAACACTGGAAATATTGAACATTACTCCATTTGGACATTTCTTTCAATGTGATGTAAAAAACTTGACTTAGACTGGACAGTGAACAACAGAAACACTGAAGGAGCTGCAGGAAGTTCCAACAAGGATTGGCGTCATTCAAAATGTGAAAAAATTTTTCTGGTTTTTGACAAAGGAGAGAGGTTGCAAGACAGAAGATGATTATTCCTGAATAATAAAATAAAATGAGCCTGCAATCTAAACAAAAAAACAAAAACAACAAAAAACAACAAAAAAACCCAAAACTATTCTCCCATATCCACTGAAACTTTCGATAAGAGATAAAGTCTTTGATTATGTGCAAATGTAAAACTTAGAACTTTTAGGATGAAAATTGGGAAGAAATAAACAGAAAAATCCCTTAAGTGGAAATTGCAATTGGGAACGTATAAAGTTTCTCTCTAACTCCAAAATGGCTGCTAGTCGGGGAGAGAATTCTAATCTGGACCGGCGTGCCATATGTTCATGTATATGCACACCTAGTTAAATCCCTGTCATATCATTCTACTACAGGTATCACTATAGAAACCCTGCCGTTTTAGAGCAGCTGACTCTCAGGCGACTCAGCTGACTCACCAGGCGAGTAGGAGGCATGGTGATTGCATGGAGTTTAAGGTGGATTTTAATATTTGTGGATGAAACAAACATTTTGTGAAAGTGAAGTGAATAAGTGAAAGCCCTTTGGGAAACTCCTCCAACTCCCATTGTCATTGTGACACAGCACACACAAGTGAACACTGCACACCATGAAATTGCATTTATGCCTCACCCGTGCAAGGGGGCAGCCCTCAATGGCGCCCCAAGGGAGCAGTGTGGCGGGACGGTACCATGCTCAGGGTACCTCAGTCATGGAGGAGGATGGGGGAGAGCGCTGGTTAATTACTCCCCCACCAACCTGGCAGGTCAGGAGGCGAACCGGTAACCTTTGGGATCCAAGTCTGACACCCTAACCGCTCACCCACGACTGCCCATTTTGATGAATAGCAAAGGAAGGAGAGCAAAAAAATTTAAAAGAAATGCAACGATACAAGGCACTAATGCCGGAGGAGTTGAAAGAAATTAAAGACGAGAAAGAAGAAGAAAAACACTCCAAAAAAGTAAGCAAAGGGGCAGTTATAATATTAAGATACTATTTTCAAAAGGAAAATTAAGTAATGCTGAACTAGTTTTATGGGCAGCTGTTGTTTTGGCTTAGAAAACATGCAAATTGAATCAGACGAACAGGTCCCCCCCGTTGGGAATGGGCAGTCGTTGGGTTCTTTGTCAGCCTGCAATACCCAATACCTGTCTTTGCCTCTGAAATGGGTGTCGTTAGATGGAATTGTTGGCTTGGCTCAAAGGAAGGTGCTCTGCTCCCCTGCATGGGGGTGGGGCTCACAATGATAGTGGGAAGGAATATATCGCTGTATTGTAGGTTTTTGCAAGCTGAAATCTAGGTCAAAACCCCTATGTTTAAGGTTCGTTTTTCTTTCTTAACATAGATGGCTGTCCATATGGACAAAAAAAAAATCTTTTGAGGACCAGAATGTTCACATTTTGGACATAGAAGACAGGTGATTTAAAATGGGGGCGTGAGGGAAGCGAATGACTGTGGATAACTGAAATTTCTTCACCAGCGCAAAGTACCATTTTTCTTAAAAATAAAAAGACAACAACCTAAAGAGCAGCACAGGTTTAAATGAGTGAGCAAAAAATTAAAAAGTTCAATATAGTTTTTAATCCAAGCTTCACACAATAATACATCAGGTTATCTCTCTTTTCCGGAGTTACAATGCAGAGAGGCTGCGCTCATAAAGTGTAATAAATAAAGTGTGAACATTATTTAAATTTCTATGTAAGTTAAAGGATAGACCCCAAACCAGAGATCTGTTATGAATCATTACACTCAGATTTGCTCATATATTTGGCAGAAAATATTTCTTCCTCTTCTTTTGTAATAATAATAATGTGAAAATGGGGACAATTCCCAATTGATAAAATGTAAAAGTTGAGGGGGGATGAGGAGGGATGGCATCCCCTTTCTTAAAAAAAAACCCTTCTTAAATGACTATTCCCTCATACTATCCCCTGTGACATTTTATCAAAGAACGTGAGAATTTCTATTATATATCAGCAGTAATGGCAATAATATTGCCCTTCCAACATTTGGCAGGCTGTGCGCTTACAAGTAGTCAACGCGACTGAGGGAATGTGAAAATAAGGAGGGGAGGGAATTTTCCACAGGTTCTAAGTTGCTGAGATCTGCCTCCCATGCTTAGTTTGAGAAATAATGTGTTTACAATTATTCAAGTTTCTCCACATAATCAAACCTGCTCTCTGTAATTGTGGTTTGAATTTCATAAGTCTGGGAAAATAAATGTGAAAATAGGAGGGAGGGAATCTTCGGCAGGTTCTAAGTTTAACAAATAAAGTGTCAGAAATGATCTAGAATGGTGTTGATAGCAAAATCAGGAATTGGCATTCACTGAGCAGAGAATTTATTTATTGCACTGACTGACATTGATTGAAACGTGTCTCCATACAAGTAAAATCCTATTAATTCGAATTAATCTGTCCACCAAAACTATCAATTCTAAGGCTTCAATGTATAAGAAATATGAAAACATTAAGAAGATATTAAAAATGTCCCTTTTCGTTCATATTTCAATCCGTTTTCTCATCAATTCGTGTGAGTTTAGGGCTATGCACGCTCCTGCGACAGGGGAGGTAATTCTCAGCACAACAGATCAAACCCGGAGGAGATCATCGAAGCAGGGGCGGATTTAGGAAATTAGGGGCCCCCGGCAAAGACAGGCATGGGGCCCTCTGAATTGAGAAGACAACTCATAATACAGACCCATAATAGAGATACAGAAATGTGATGTTAATGTCTGGCCAATGGTGATAAATGAATTGAATGTTGATATCTGACTGCAAGGTCCCTCATGTGACTTGTTAGAATAGTTTTAACTCATTCATTGCCAGCATGTAGTCTAGCTTACTTGAAATTAGCCAATAGAAGCAATACTGATTCTCTGACAAACAGTCTATTTTATAAAATAAATACTCTAAATTAATATTTGAAAGGTGAGTAAAATTATTAGATTTTATACAGTCTTATTTTATTTTCAGGCTGTTTCTAATGTATTAAAATTTGTGAGCAGTTTTTTTTTCTTCAGATTTTTGATTTTTTTTTCAGCTGTTTCAATTTAATTAACTGAATTTGAATAAAAAAATGCTTGAGTTGAAAGGATTCAGATATTCATTTGCAATGTTTTGTGAGGTTTTGTTCCAAATCTTAATAGATTCATTGCCAAAAGATTCTCCAAAGTAAAAACAAAGAAGTGGCCTACAATGACTATGAAGCTGATACCAGTGGGAAATGAGTCCCTTCCTATATAGGGGCAGTGATAGTCATGCCAGCCCAGGGACTGACTGCAGTTGCAACTACTGCATATAACCATAAATTAGTTTTTTTATTTAGAATTATACAGTAATTTATATATTTTTTTCATATATTTTATGAGTATAAACTATACCCTTAATACCTTCAGCATTTTGGCTGTTTAAATTTGTTTAGAAACACTGAGAAGCAATTGGAAATATCAAGCTGTACCCTCATGATTTTGGAAAGATTTTGATAAACTTAATAATTACAGGCTCAGCTGTATGTTGTCGTTGCTAGTGAGTAAATTCTCTGCATACCCTCCATTTAGGTTTATATTTCATCATATTTCGAGCTGCTTTGTGTGTGTTGTGACCCACATAGAGAAGCCATTAGAGCCTCAAACTGTACTTTTTTAGTACCAGTATATGAGTAAATTAGAATTTAAATTTAAAATGGATTAAAGTCTTTATAAGACAATCACATGTGCTTTATTAAGAAATAAAAAATATTCCCCTTTTTAATCAGCTAGATAAATCAAACCAATCTAAAGGTGAGGACAACTGTCAGAAGCTTTTCATCCCACAGAAGAAAAATCCCAATCAGATAATCCAAACTAACAAAACAGTTTCTGAAGTATGCTATGAATCTTGGCGAGTTCCTCTGTCACTAAGAAAGAAATTCTGTGGAAGCAGTATTTTTTTTTCTTTTTTGGAAAGAGGATGAGTCAAAAAATCTTCCAGAAAGATGAAAGAGGCTTATAAAGTCCCCCTTCCCTGTTAGAGTATACTGCTATGTACTGTAACATTCATAAAACATTAACCAGAAGCAAAACTTAACTACGAACATATCTCTTTTTGCTAAATGACTGCATCAGGGAAATAAATTCCAAGAAAGACAAACTTAAATGTCTACATTTACAGTCAATGTCTCAGAAGGGCAGGATTATAACTCTTCATCTGCAAAACAAAGGGAATGGAAACTTATTTATTGCTAAGAGAAATTTGATGAGCAGAGCCACTTTAGAGAGTGGAGGATGTTCTAACCTTTGTGTTCTTGCCTCCAAATTTAAAAAAGAAATGTGTCAACTATGAACACCCGCAATGAAGCTAAAATGTCTACTTAGGATCCAGCTTGCTGAACACCCCAGTCATTGCCTGCATTGAAGCTTTGAATCCGGTTTATATCATGACATCTCTTTATAAATATGACCCAACTTTCTCCTGTTCACTGTACATTGTGGTTTCCAGACATCGCTGAGGCAGCCAGGATTCAGCGCCTTTGTACACATTGTCCTCAACTTGGGCAGCCTATGTCCATCTGCAACAAATTACTACCAGCTGCATCTTTTTACTTGCGTCTAAACTAATTAAGCTTGAATAAGGCTTGGTGTGGCAGGCCAGGACAAAATCATGTACAACTGTTGTGATGAAATACAAGGTTCAAAGACCTAAATGAAAAAAGGAGTTTTGTATCTTCTGATGGAAATTAAATTGGATTTGTGATAGTATGTCGTATTAGATTAAAATGCATTGAATAAAAATACAGAAATATATTGTGTTTCTTTTGTTTTTAAACAATTAAAATTATTTAACACGAACCAACAATCTAATTGCTTCTTTTCCATAGATTCATCCAAGTCATTTAAAACAGCAGAAGTTGTGAAGGACGACTCAGTCTATGCAGTTTAATTGAGGATAATTCATTGGATTTCTCTGCTGATTAAAAAGTTGAGCTAATTTTGAAAATAAGTTCTACTTTCAGAATGAAAACCTGCCAGAGTAAATATGCAACATACTTCCCCTCTAACTGTTCTCTCATTTTTTTCCACATCTGCTTCCAATTTTCAACTAAGTTCTGTTTTTAGAAACATTACCCCTTAGTTGTGCAATTTTACAGCCAGTCAAAGTCCCAAGTTCTTCTGACTGATTATTGATTGTTGACCTTGAACTTGGTTTCCCTCAGACATCCCATGTCCCATTTGCTTTGCATTGGAGTTGCCTACCGGTTGTGATCTATAAAGTTTGTAAGTGGCTGGAACAAAGTATGCATCAATACACTGTTGCATGCTTATGCGATGTGATCATGATGTAAACAAAACAGATGTGAATTCAAACTTCCCAAAGAGCCTACATTTTTTCATCAATGTACACATTAATGGAGTGGCTCATTTTCACAAAGCTCGGGGTAAACCCGTTTCCTGACTTATATCAAGGATCTGGGAGAACTCAGTGTAACTGTAGGGGACTGTTATTTAACATCAGGATCTAAAGCATCTTTTCATTAAAAAATCCTGTGGAAGTGACCATGCATGGAAACAGTGAGCAATGCTCTCACCTTAAAAAAGAAGAACCCAACTAAATTAAACAGGAAACGAAGCCAGGCTGGATAGTGTCGCATCACCTCTGTCATGACAACTCCTGGGTGTACCGAGTTGGCAGTAACGCCTGTCAGGAAATAAGGAAACAAATGGACTTGGATTACTGAATGGGATGATGTGAACCTTTGAAGTGTAAAATATTTGCTAGAGGGAAACTGTTCATCAGAAGTTTGTTTGCGCCTGGGTGAGCATCACATTAATTATTGGGTAACAAACATGGATTTGAACAATCTATTTTCCAGGCATGGGTGACTGTAGGGATTAGAACTTTTTTAAGTTTTCAAAATTGAAATAGTTCCCACAAGTCTGAGGTTATATTGAGTTTCTTTTTACAATCATCAAGGGCTTAAATTTTAACACACAAGCTCATATATGCTGCAGAGAAATTACCCAGCTGTTCTTAGGCACTGACAAAGGCAAAACCCTGACTTCAGATTTGTTAGGTTGGCGTGAAAAAGTAGCAAGTAAAACAACACTGCATTTAGCGCTTAGTAGAAAACAATAGAAAAGATGCCAAAACTTTGCAATTCATGTGTCAGGAATTTCTGACATAGGAGGATTTTCTCTAAACAAACCAGTGATTTCCAAACACAACAACACTCTCAGACATAAACTGTTTCAAACCAAAGACAGAACAACCAAAGAAAAGCTGAGTCACGTTATTTATGTCGTCCAGTGTATCAACATTGACCTTAAATTTCCCATATATAATTAAGTAAATTAACTAGAATATTATCAATAAAATCCTTTTGGATAGTAAAAAGGGACCTACCGGTGCCCTGTAACCTTCGAGCCAGCTCATTGGTGCAGATGATGTTGTGCAGCTTGGTGTGATTGTAGACTTGATCCATGGTGTACACAAGGTTTTTCCCATGAAAGTGAGAGAAGTCCACTTCACCTCTCTTGTGGTTGAGGGAGCTGACGGTAACGATACGTGCTGGAGCTGAGCGCTTTATGAGTTCTAGAGCAAAAGGCACACAGAAAAACCCCAATTTACAAGGGGAGAAAGATAAGAAATGTAATTTCAATGGAAATATGCTATATGCTACTAATTCTTAAAATGTTGTTGCAGAAAATAAGACGCATCAGCATACCCAGCAGCAGGTTTGTGAGCAGAAATGGTCCCAGATGATTGGTGGCAAAAGAAGCTTCAAACCCATCTTTGGTTATCTGTCTGGGGAGACCTGTCACCAACAGTTAGATATAAAAATGTGTGCAGAACAACAAGCATCAAGATCTACTCCTATACAAAACCAAGTGTTATTATAAGCATGCATCTAAATCCTTCCCTCCTCCGTATTTTCTTGGGATCATATGACCAATCAAAATAAATTTACGGTTCGCTCTTACAGGTTTTACATTCAGAGACCTAAATGTGTATGTCCCCATACAATAGATCCCTAGTGAGATACTATGCTGTGACTTGCTGTGTTGACTTTCACTGCATTGTTTCAACAGCATTTTTCCTAATTCCCCTACCTTTGCTAATAGCTATATTGTTCATAGATTCTCTCATCATTTAGCAGCTACCGATGTATCTTTGGCCTCTGTTCTTCTTGCACATCCTGTTCAGATTCAGTGGAGGCCATGTTAGTAGATGGACCATCGATGGTCAGTACAGCAGACATCTACTTACTGTGGCTTTTACTGATTATAGACATGAGTAATTTTTATGGATTATTAATCTATATACGTACATTCTACAAACATTTATTCATTATGTTATATTATATATTATATTCATGAATAATCATGAAATGCACTGTTATATGTTTTGTATTGGGGTCTCTCTGGGTACTCTGGCTTTCTCTAACATTCCAACAACATAGATATTAGGTTCATCTCTTTCTAAACTGCTCTTAGGGAGGAATGTATATACTTGTTTGTCCTGCGATGGACTAACAACCTGTCCAGTGTGTTATGCACTTGTCGCCCAATGACCAATGGAAATAGGCTCTTTCTCTCCGTGAGGACAAATGCTCATGGACAATGGATGGAGGGATTCCAATTTATGTACAGTACAGTCTCCACTTAAGTATTATTATCCATTTCATTCAATGTATTTACCACTATATCTATACAGTACTTTTTCCAGAGGTCTTTATGCTCTATAATTGATGGATTTATCTTAGTTAAATAAATTCCTGAATACTTTATTGCAATTAATTATTTGTTTTATCTGCTTGTTTACTTGATTTGATCTTTAGATTGTGCATTTGTATTTGCTTAAATGTTTTTGTGCTTTGTATTTTAAATCTCTGTAAAGCAGTTTGAGTTTCACTTAAGAATGCTTTACATATAAAGTTTGATTGATTGATTGATGGATTAATTGAACACATCCTAACTCCTTTATCTCTGATCTGTGTGCTGTTTTTATAAGTCTTTTTGTTTTCACAATGTTCTCTAACAAGTCTCTGAGGCCTTTACATGACAGCTTAAACAGTTTAAACAACACACAGCTTGTTTTGATTTATATCTAAACTCTGGATGGTCTTTGTTCAGTTGCTCTGGGATTTATGTGGGCATATTAGGATGCATTTATCGGAAAGCTCCACTTACATTTCAGATTTATTATTTTTTAAAGAAAAACCAAAGGGGCATTTTGGAGTTCATCTACCCATAATGCACTGCTTCATGTTGGCCTATGACAAAATAGTCCCTCTCTGTTGTTTAAATATGGCTGATGTTCAAAATGTTAGGCACTGCTGCCTGAGACTCTGGAAGTTATGAGGCGACCTTGACACCTCCTGAACCTCTGTAATAAAAAAGACCAACCTTTGCTCTTTCAATGCCAGAGAGGTTTTAAAGTTCTTTATCTGTTGCTCTGTTTCTGCAGTTCATGTATTCATACTGATCAGGTTTGTTCAAACTCTGCTATTTCAGTTCGCTTTTTGGTTTTATATTAGAACATGACAATTTTTTATTTCTATTAATATGAAATATAAAATAAACACATTTATTATTTTGTCTAAGATGGACCTTACACAGTTGGTGGACAAGAGGAGAAACTTCTTGACTGGCTTTAGACTTTCTATCTGAGGGCAGATACAGGGAAAGATGAGGTCTATCCACCCATCCTAAAGAGGACTGTTATTGGAAGGTTCAGAATATTAAAATCTACTCCCCTCCCCACTCAGTTCCACCTATAGACTGGATATTACACTGTGCTGCACTTTATTACATGGATTTTAATTCTACATTTATTTTAAATATTGATAAATGGCCTGTATTAATGTTTTCAAGCCTTGTGTATTATGTGATTTGAACATTTTCTTAGCACCCAAAGTAAACTTCAATGTGTTAACATGCATTGACTATAATGATTTTACCTGCTCTGAAAAAAACAGGCGAGCTGCATTTTGGAGAACTAAAGGCAACATCTGTATTTGTTCAGTTCAGCTTTCCTCATCAACAGTGTGTAATCCAGGGTCTCGCAAACATAATGGCATGCCAGCAAACAATCCAAAGGTTCAGTCAATGTCAACTAATCTAAACATTTATCTAATTATTAGCTCTTCCTGATTCCATGAATACTTTTTAAGCTGTTGCTCTTATCCAACTCTGATGTTATCACAAAGGTTGGATGCAGAGATGTACTTTCAATCATCCTCATAACGTGTTAACCAGAATGCATATATTTTCTAGTTCTACAAAGAAAAGAAATGTGATAACAGTTGCTGAGTGGATTTAAATAGTGAGCGTTGTTCCTTCGTATTTGTGCTGTCATATGCCTCACAGATGGGGAATAACAGACAGAAAGCTCTTTTGGGGGGTTTCCACATTGTTATATGTTCTCAACCCTTTCCTTTGAAAATTGTTTAACTCATGTGAAGCTTAACAAAGATAATTTGGTTACTGAATGGTTGTGGGTCCACTTTTACAAATGGTCCAGAGTCTCCTGAGATTGCAATTACCCAATTCAGCAGAAGTAAACAGGGCTTTTGTTTGTGCAGTTGAATTTCTTGGTTTAAAATGAAAACTTGCGTCACCTGATACTGCAGCATTGTTTACAAGAATGTGGAGTGATTTCTCCTCCTCCAGAATCCTCTTCGCAAATGCTCTGACAGAATCCATGGAGGAGACATCCACAATGCGCAGATGGACGTCTGAGTTCCCTGTAATCTGCTTGATTTCAGTAGCAGCTGCTTGGCCCCGGGACTCGCTTCGGCAAGCCAAGATGACCCGCGCCCCACGCCGAGCAAAGTCCAGGGCAATGAACTTCCCAATTCCTAGCAGAGTGATAGATAAAAATATATTAATCAAATGAAAACCAAGGAATAAACACGATTTTTACTGTAGAAAAAAATTATTTTTACTGCTATTGAAGAATGAATAATATGAAAAAAATGTTTATCACCCAAGCGATGATATTTTCTTAATAAAATCTTAAAACCAAATGCTACAGGGAGAAAGGGCTACCTCGCTGAAGTATCATCACTGGCTGAACCATTTAAAATACTACAGTGCAACAAGCAGATGGCTCATTGTTTTACTTTGAAGATCTGTGTGACAGACCAACACAAAGTTGTATATAAAATATGAAGTGCAATAAAAAGATATATGGTTTTTGCCGTTCATTCAGCCCTCTAAGCTCTGGTACCCTTACATTCAACTCAAGCCAGCTGATTACTTTCATGTGTCACTTAATTAGCAGAGCAGAAAAGAATCCATCTGGATATGATTTAAACCACACCATACAATCTAAGTTTAGACAAAGCTGCTCAGTGTTTCTCCTAAGTAGCTGGATAGAAAACATTAAGGAAAACAAGGCGTCATGAAGACCAAAGTACACAGCACTGATAAGGGTGGGGTGAAGTTGAAAAAATAAGTTTAATTAAATCAATATCCAAAGCTAACATATAAAATTGTGGGTATAAATTTAATCTAATTGTCTATCTATTTATTTTCCCTTTCATCAAACCAAGACTATTTTAATAGAATAAAATATCTCTTCCGGTAAGGAGTTCTGGAAGAGGTTGAAGGCTAAAATGTCCTTCGTAAAAACCTGATCAGGCAACAAAAAGCTAATTTGTAAACACACTACCTCAATGGTCAAACACAGTGGTGGCTGTGTTGTGCCATGTGCCATGATCATGGGTTTTGGACATCGGGAACCAGTGTCCATGTTCCATCTTGACATGATGACCAGAGAAGAAGCCGCAGCTTTGGTGAATAAACAGCTGTGGAATCTCTGCAACCCTGCTTTTCAGTCAAGGCTCCAAAAGCAGTCACAGGAAGTCCCACAAAGGTGTGACCAACCACCTCCCTCTCTGTGAGGACAGACAAAAACCACAGAACACTCTCTTCTACCTATCTTTTCCCATGAGGCTGCCTTGGTGCTCTTCGAAGAGGCAGCTAAAATGGCGATCCGGGCCTGAAAGACCAAGATCTCCAGAATCCTCAAGGATAAGTCATTATGGTGACCATTCAGAACCAGCCTGCTGCAAAACAGACCTTTTGCAACACATTTCCCTTGAGTTTCAGAACTTACAGAGCCAGACTGGAGAGAAGGCCTCCTAATGACCCCTGCTGGGAGCCACTGAGACAAAGAAACCACTGGTTGCTGTGGCCTGACTGCTGAGCTGCAGCTGAATGAAACTCAAGCCTTCCAAATGGAACTGGACAAAAAGTTTTGCAGGTCTGACATAATTAGGGACAGAACAAACAATATGTCTTTTGATGATGTTGATGATTTCATGTGTTTACTGATGAGTAACGACAAAGCTAACAGGATAGATCGCATGCTACGCTATGCTACAGGAATATTTTGTGAGCTGTTTTTGAAGCTTGGACAAGCTTTATTTCACTAAGGGTTTAAACACTAATATAACATTAGTGTTCATGTGTTCCTCATATGCTCATTACATTTCGATTACCAAGTATGACCAAGGCTCAGAGAGACGGAGTTGAAGGAAGTTTGATGAGGAATCAGCACTGAAGAACTGCACAGAGAGAGTATTTATGGGAGACTGAAACAAAGGGAGAGCTAACGAGCAGATTAGGAGCAGGTGTGAGTAGAGCAGAAACAAGAAAGGAGCAAGGGAAAAAAGGAGAACTCAAGAGGGCAGCAGTGGGCAACAAATAAAAACCTGAGAACTGAAAATAACCAGAAAACACAACAAAATAAGAATTAAACCACTAAGACTATGAAACATGGAATAAAGCAAAACCGAACACTCAAAAGAAAACATAAAAGAACCAAGACTAAGACAGAAACTGAGAAAAAAACAAAGAACACAATAAAATAAGAAATAAACCATAAAAAAGTAGAAAACAAGGAGCAAAGCAAAACTGAACATCCAAAAGAAAAAACATAACAGAACCAGAACTCTAACATGCTTTGGGAATTTCTTCCTTTAGCAATGACAGAGAACTGGTTATATTTGATGGGAGGATTTGGGTAGAGCTGATGGTTCCTTGGATTTGTGGAAAGGTTGGAGAGGAGAACGGTTCAGCTTGCTAAAGTCAGAAAGCAGGGGGAACTGTTGTTAGCTAAAAGCTAGTGGCATTACTAACCATAATTATGCTCCTCAGTTTATACATTCAAACACAGAGATATCCTAAACTAAATAAATATTTAACAGCATCATTTGGCCCTAAACATGCAGCCAGGTCTTTAAAGAAATAGGAAGGAAGACAGCATATTACTGTGTGTCTGTGCAAACACTAGAAAAGTGATATTTTCTGTAATCCCTCTTTCAAGTCTTACAAAGCTTGAGGTATTTTTCAAAAATATTCTCAAAAGGTAATTTTTTTCTGGTAAAGTCATAAAAACTGACAGCAGGATTTGAGTGCCATAATTGTACTCCATGAGGTTTTTTTTAAATGATGCATTTGTTAAGCATTTAAAAATGAGTATCACTTTGTTTTTACTACTTAGTTTTCATCTCTCTGATAAAATCCCATAAAATGCAATAAAACCTTTACGAGAGAAAACGGTTAAAAAGTTCAAAGAGTCAAAAGACTTCTCTGGATGTATCCATGTATGACCTGTTGTCCGTGATGCAGTAGATACAATCTGCCCATAAGAGAGGAAACTTAAAAACTCAACACGTGTTCCTCTTTTAATCTTTCTTTGGTTTTGGTCTCTTTGATCGTAGCACTTTACTCAAGAGACAAACAAACAGCCCAAAATGTTTTGTAAGGATCAATGGCTGGAAAGCATTGCTTTGGCTGCTTTTCACTGATGGCGAACTCTGACTTTTTTAGCCTCAGAGTTGTGGACAATTAAACCCTTGCTTTTCAATCTAATTATGATGTTATCTTCATGTATCCACTAAGACCATAACACAAAACAGATGTCATTTTTACAACTTTAACATTAAAAGCACATATTCATCTATGCAACCTTGTTAACCGTGAGGGGGCAGTTTGAAGCCCTTTTATCTGTGAATCTTAGAGGAAAATGCCTTTTACTTTATGATCAAGTCATTAAGCTGCAGAACTTGGCATCACTTCACAGTTAACTATGAAAGGAAAACCTGAATTAGCAGGACAAGAGTTTAGATTACAAGAAAACCTAACTTGCACTAATCTGTTGATCCATACGACCTTCATAGAATGCATTAAGATTGTGCAATATCTTTATCACCAGAGTGTTGTAAAGACATAATAAACCAGCACATGGTTGTTTTGGCTACTAGACAAAGCAGTCCTTGTAAAATTTGAAATTTTTTTTTTCAAAAAACTTTTATTCTTCTGTCATGGATGCACTTAAAACCATTTTAAACAGTGTGCTAAAACATGAATCATGTTAACATTTACTAAAATAAAAAAGGTCTTGCCTGCAGCCAAGTAAAAGTTTGATTTCCAGCCACTATTTAACTTATCTTTAAAAGTGGTTTGCAAAAGACAAACCATGCAAAACACAGCAAAGTAGGATGAGTAAAGCTAATTATCGTCAGACAGTCCCACTTTATTTAATCTGTGAGCTAAACTAACCTGTATTGGCTCCTGTTACTATAGCAGTCTTCCCAGTGAGACGCATGGCGCAGGTTTTAGGGTCCCAGATGGTTCTGCGCTGCAGGCGCACAACAACAGCCAAGAGAGCAGACAAAGCAGCCCAGAGAGGATGGCTGAATATGTCCAAGAAACCCATATTTCCAGTGAGGTACGATCAGTGAGTGACAGAGGAATGCAACAGCAGCTTACAGCTTCAAAAGTGCAAAGGTCCCAGTTTAAGTAAGGAGGAGGAGGAAGAGGAGGAGTGCCCAAATGTGCTGACAGAAGTGGTGACAATATCCTAAAAAGATCATCGATGAGGCAGTGAGTTATTGGAAAAGAGGGTCTGACCTTAAAAAGAAAGAAAGAAAGAAAGAAAGAAAGAAAGAAAGAAAGAATATGTTTTAAATTATCTACACATACACTAAAAGCATAACTCATTGTTGGGGCCTAACTGTCAGAATTCAACGAAAGGCAGGATAACATTAAACTAATCAACAATTTCATTAAGCCACACTTTAAGGCTTGGAAATGCAGCAAGAGAAAGGTCCAGAGTAGGACTAATTACAACAGACCGCATGGAAACTAGTGAGAGTCAGTTGTGTTGGGTCTGTTTTTGATTTAGCACACCACACAGAGGATTTAAAACACATGCCGAGGCCACACAAAACAGTCCTCCAGTAGTTTGGATGTTTTATTTTCGTATTTTTTCGTTAGAGCAGGCGTTTTGTTTGTGTGAGTTGGAAATTAAAGCTTGGGGATGGATTCAATGTGGTTTCAAGTTTATACATCAAATTTAAGGAAATCTTTGAGGTGAAGTTTGATCTTATCCCAGAATGGGATTTTATGGCAGGTAAAAAAGGCCACACTTCCACCTGATTGATCATAATGATGTTAAAAAACATTAAATAGCAGCGTTAAATATATTACCAGGTTAGGTTTCAATGGACTTATTAGGACAAATTCATATAAGTGATCATTATGTATTGCAGCTTACAAAATTAACTCTGTTAAACTAATAAGCTGTGGCTTTTTAACACATTTGTTTTACCAAGCTTTTATGTCATAATTTTATGATGCTGTTTTGTCCTTTTGCAAATTCAATGTTCAACTTTAATATGCCTGATCTTGTACAAAAAACAACATCATATGAGCACATTTGACGACTAATAGTTCATTAAGGCATCCTCTGATTCAAACAGCATTCTGTCTTCCTTTGGATGAGCATTTCTGCCGAATTGTAATGGCAAACCAACCGGACATTGAGGTAGTGGACAAAAAGCAGAGAAACAGCGCTTTGGTTGATATAGCAATACCAAGGACTGCAACATCAGGAAAAAGGAATATGAGAAACTAGAGAAATACCAGGGGCTCAGAGAAGAGCTGGAGAAAACCTGGAAGGTCAAGGCATCAGTGGTACCTGTGGTCATTGGGGCACTTCGGGGCAGTGACCCCTAAACTTGAGGAGTGGTTATAGCAGATCCCTGGAAAGACATCAGACATCTCGGTCCAGAAAAGTGCAGTTCTAGGATCAGCAAAGATACTGTGAAGAACTCTCAAGCTCCCAGGCCTCTGGTGGAGGACTTAAGCTTGGAAAAAAAGAAGGGGTGAGACCTGCCTTTGGAAATATTTGCGTCAAAATGTTTTGTGGCCATCAAAATGCTTCGGTGTGATTTTTTGGGTAAAACTGTTGTTTAAAAGCAATAAGCACAATTTGGAATAATTTAGCACAGTTGGAGAGGTTCAGAGACACTGGTGACACCAGTAGTTAAAAGTCACATAGCTCTGGCACTGTAATATCTAGAGATCTGGAATTTTTTGCAGTCGTGGTTGACATGATGCAGAATAAATATAATACAATGACACATGCCTTTTGTCAAGCATATCTTTGATACTACTGTTCAAAATTTATCCTGATTTTATTTTTGTTCTATTTAATTGTTAATCCATCTAAAGCCCTTTGAATTGTCCATGTATTGATTTCTGTTACACAAACAAAACTTTGCTTTGCCTTTAAACTACTGATGATGCAGTTAATAATTAAACTTAAAAATTTAAAGGCAGCTATAGACAAATTGATTTTGGGGATTGTTGAGATGGGACTGTAGTTCTGCAGGATTTGTTTGTCTATGCATCTTTTTCAACAGTGGTTTTATAATTGCTGTTTTTAAGGTCTGGGGGAAAACACCCGACATGAGTGATGTGTTTATGATTTCTATCGAATCAGACTGTAATACAGAAAAAAAAATGTTATTTACCTGTGGATAAAACAAGACAGCAGAAAAAGGAGCTTAAATAAAAAAAAATGTTCTTTTGCAGTTTATTTGGCAGAATTGGGACATTTTGACAAAGTTTATTCTGACTAGGGAGAGTATTAGTACTGAAGTTGAAGATGATGTACAGACTTTGCAAAATTATTTCAGGCCTTTTTAGATTGGAGTTCACTGGCTGCAGGGATAGGAGGGTTTGTTAACTTGTCAGCTGTAGCAAATAATGCACAAGCATTGTTGATGTTTTAGATAGTCTCAGAGAACGACAGATCATTGTGAAGATTTTCTTTATATATTTCATAGTTAACCTGGAATCCATACTTTTGTCACCTTTGTTCAGCTTTTTGGCACTCTCTTTTCTGTTCTCCCTCTTTTCTGTAAAGATTTTTCTTCTGAGACACCCATTCCCCAAGCAACTTTTACTCTTTCCATTTCATAAATATATAAGAAGTATCCAGTTTTCAGAACAATGATGTGGACCCAGAATTTCTCTAATGACTTAAAAACTATCATAACCTTGGTATGAAGGACTAGCTTAACCTTCTGTGATGGTCACATGGTCAGTAACCCCACACAACACCACTTTTTCATAAGTTTTTTTTAAATCAGAGTAGCATAAATATATTGGTTTGTTTTTGACAATTTTGAAGACATTAGTTCCAATTGTAGCGCGCACATTTGGTTAACTTTTGTTTAATTTTGTCAAATGCTTAATATATTTTCTGCTTTCTTTTCTGGTGCTGTGGGAATGCAATCAACTGGGGGAATGTGGCTGACATCATGGACTGATTGGGTGGTACCATCTAGAGTTCCACTATGGGGGAAGACCATGGACTCCACATTTTAAAATATGTTGCATAATTTCTTCTTCTTACTTTTGTGATTTTCTCATTTTGTTAATTTGTATATTGATTGTTATGTAAGTTTAATCCTTAAGCTAACTGTTTAGTTATTTTTTGTTAATTTGTTGTAGATGTTCTCCCTACCTCTTCCTCAGTGTGCCAGTCTGGTCTGATCAGCCAGTATTTAAGTCCCCTTTGTTTGCTGTGTGTCAGGTCAGTTTTTTGTTTGTTCAGTTAGTTTGAGGTTTCATATGTTTGAACTTAAAACTTTTTTGCCCTTAGTTAATTTCTTCATTTGACCTCTTTTAAGGGCCCTGAATTTTTTGTTTGGATTATTGCTACTTTGGGGAAATAAAACCCAGTTTTTTGACATTCACCACTGTGTCCTCATGCTTGGCTGGCTCGGTCCTTCACACATGGTGTCAGAAGTGGGATCTGCCAGTGCTCTATGATCTGTTAAAACAATCAAAGGACTGTAATTTGGCTATTACAAGGGCTAAATCTAAAGAAATTAATGAGCACCTTCCAAATTTGAGTACCTTACCTTTCTTTGATGCTGACTTAGAATCTGAACCCGGGAGATCTAAGAAATCAAGGAGTCAAAGAAAGCAGGAGAAGTTCAGAGGTACTGTTATAAAGGTGCCTGCAGATGCTACCCCTGATGTACCATTGGGATTTCAGATGCCCACAAACATCATTCAAATGCAGCAGAATGACCCAACATTGTCAATCACTTTGTTACAAGCTAAGCAGAGGAATTCTGAGGGTGAGCTTTGCAACAGCAAAGAGGGGTATTTTTTACAGAACGGCATACTTTACCATCAGTGCGGTCAGGCTAAACGCCTAGTGGTCCCTCAAGAGGCCCGAGAGGTTGTACTAAATCTGGGCCATTCAATTCCCTGGGCTGGCCACCTAGGGAAATGCAAGACCACTAGTCGTATTAAACGTCACTTTCACTGGCCTGGCCTGCATTCAGATGTTGCAAAATTCTGTAAGAGCTGCCCCCAGTGTCAAAAAACTTCAATTAAAGGCCCCTCTAAAGTTCCACTTCAGCCCCTGCCTGTGATAGGCACGCCATTTGAACGTCTCGGAATGGACATTGTCGGCCCCCTGGAAAAGACCCGTTCAGGCTATCGGTATATGTTGGTGATCACAGATTACGCAACCAGATACCCTGAAGTCTTTCCACTGAAGACAATGAAGGCAAAAGCTGTAGCCTTCTCTCTGATACAGTTCTTTTCAAGAGTGGGGTTTCCTCGTGAAATTCTCACAGATCAAGGGTCTAATTTCATGTCTGTTTTACTGAAACAGGTGTATAAATTATTGGGGATAAGGAGTGTGAGGACCACCCCATACCATCCCCAAACAGATGGGTTGACGGAGCGCTTTAACCAGACCCTGAAGCAGATGCTCCGTAAGTTTGTGGATGAAACGGGCTCTGACTGGGATCAGTGGTTGCCTTACCTCCTTTTGCATATAGGGAAGTTCCCCAGGCCTCCACTGGGTTCTCTCATTTTGAACTCCTATATGGTCATGAGGTCAGGGGCCCTCTTACCCTATTAAAGGAAATGTGGGAAGGGACCCAGATGGGGAAGGAGCCGGTTAATGTTGTTTCCTATGTTCTACAGATGAGGGAGAAACTGGAAAAAATGAGCATATTGGCTAAGAACCATTTGGAAGTTGCACAGAGGTTCCAAAAGGCCTGGTATGATCGTTCAACAAGAGAGAGAATTTTTCAACCAGGTCAAAAGGTTCTGATAATGTTGCCTACAAATGATAGTAAGCTCCTAGCAAAGTGGCAAGGTCCCTTTGAGGTGCAGAAGAAATTAGGCCCTACAACCTACCGAGTTGCCACCCCAGGGCTCCAGCGATCTAGCAGAGTTCTGCATGTAAATCTGCTTAAAGAGTGGGTCCCACGGACTGAAAAAGGAACAGATGTCCTGTTCATCCAGCATGTTGGAGAAGATGAAGAAACGGAGCAATACTTGCCATCTCAGTCTGCCTCCATTGTGGATCTGGGCCATCTGACAGATGATCAACGCCATGAGGTAAAAACTGTTATTACCTCAGATGTTTTCAAAGAATATCCAGGCTGCACAAATTTGGTTGAACATAATATTGT